TCTCTCTCTCTCTCTCATTAATATTTATTATTATGCATACCATCACAATCACAGTTCTCTCCCACCCACCTACTAATCACTTACTTTTCAAAATCTCCATTCTTTTCTACTCATCATAATACAATAACTTAACAAATATGTTTTCATGGTGACATGATATATAGAGATTCATATATAATACAACAATATGAGAATTTCAAAGCAGCTAACACAATCGGCATAAGCCGAAAACGAGGTCGTGCTTTTTCACGAGTGGTCTCGGTCAGAAGAGCCCTGCGAAAAGTTACCAAGAAACATGAAAAAATAACATCGAATCAAAGAAAAAAGAGTGGTTAAGTAAATAACTACTTAGCGCTCGATAAATGGACACCGTATTTCTCCTAGGCGATGAAGATCGTGCCGCTTTTCTCCAGCAAATGATGCAGTCTTTTGGCTGTCTTCACATTTGCCTTTGGTCTTATTTGCCCCACCCATCCAAGTGAGTAAACAACTCTCCCATTTGTTTTCTCTTAAATCGTCGTGCCCATCGGTTAAGAAGATTATTGTGATCTTGTGTGCTTTTCAGCTGCTTGCTAGCTATGGATGGACTGTACAGAGGTTCGAGCAGCCCTCAGCAGCCAAGCTCGTCGTCTGCAAGTCTTGCTAGACGGCTTTTTGATGCGTACAGAGAGTCGGTTAACTATGTCGAAACCGAAAACATGTGTGTATCGATCAAGCTAAAAGTTTGAAATTGTCACACATTATCATAATTCTTAAAATGTTTTTCATGATTTATTTAGGCGAATACCGGGTTTTGCTTTTAAGAATAACCTTCCTTATATGGAGCTGAAGTTGCATGACCTTCAGAGGATGGCCTCTCATGATGTCCAGCTTCAATTCTACCACGTAATTTAATTACATATTCTCATTTTTGTTAAACTACATCAACATTTCAAGAAATATTTCATATATAGTTTCACCAATTTTTGGGTACTAATATAAATTATCATTTTTTGTTTCTGTTAAATATATACAGGAAGCTGGGATTAAGGTAACTTGTGATCACTTTCAATTCAGAACATATGCCATTGAATTTCCAATGATTTTTTTTTCTAAATTACTAAAAAGATTATAATGTCGATTGTATTAATTTCAGACGGTCGTCTTCATGGGTTGCGCCGCAGGCGAGATCGAGCTCGGAATGTCTAATGATCCTCCTCAAGTAAGTTAACAATCTCAATAACATTGTTCATTCTTGATTAAGTTACTAATTAGTAATTACTCCCTCTAAACCAAAACAAGATAAAATAAAGAATAAATTAAAAATTAATTACTTAACCTTTTTTTTCCTAGGTGGACTTGGGTAAAGAGATGAAGAACTTATTCCCAGCCGACTTCTCACGACAGGCGGCCATATCAGCCGGTGAAATGCCGACCCACATGCCTTCTTCTGCCTCGTCCTCGACATCACTCAGATCTTTATCGGCCGATAGCTCCGAATATTACTCCCCTCTATTACTCAACATAATCCATCATAATCAAGAGCCTCTAACTACACCACTGATAATCCATCGTAATCCGGGCACAGCCTTCACGAGGTATAGCGATAACCCGGCCCATCCCGGAAGCTACATTATCGGTAAACAAAACATGTTTAAAAGGGCCATTTCGTTCTTCAGAAACCTTAACATGAGAAAGAGGCACGAGCTACAAGCCGCCGCTCAAGGCCGGCCCACGACAGCACAGATGCACCACATGATATCCGAAAGGAGAAGGCGCGAAAAGCTCAACGAGAGCTTTCAAGTCCTCAGGTCATTACTCCCTTCAGGAACTAAGGTATCTATTAATATATATTTTTGTTTTTTCTGTGATCGATCGCTCTCGGTTATGTTAAAAGAATTTGAATCAGCACAATTTTCAATATGCGCAGAAGGACAAGGCTTCTGTGTTAAGCAGCACGACCGAGTACTTGAGCACACTCAAGTCTCGAGTGGACGAGCTCAGTAGAAGAAATCAAATGCTCGAGTCGCGGATTTTATCCGTGCAAAGATTGTCAAAAGGCAGTGGTGGTGGTGGTGAGGATGATGAAACCGGACCCAAAATTTGTTCGGTTGATGATCAGAGAGTAAACGTGGAGATCACACACGTGTCACCATCTACTTCGGAAGCAAGATTCTTGGACTTGAGAGTGAGAGCGAGAGCGAGATCATCGGGCGAGATTATGAGCGATGGCTTGTCGGATTTAGTTATTGTGCTGCTCGAGTTCTTGAAGCAGCAAAGGAATGTGAGTCTAACCTCGTTGGAGTCGAATACAAGAATGTCGGGACCAGCTGCGGTACATGAAATGATGTTGAGATTGAAAATTGAGGTATGTTTTTCGTATGAGTTCAAAATTGTTTGTTATTGTGTTGCATGCATGAGTTCAATTATTGTTTGTAGGTAATGGCTTCATGCCATGCATATTTAAGCATCCATCACTATGATATGATATTGGAGAAATTAAAAATATCCGGGTTTTTTTACTGGTAAATCGACACACATCCATGTGATGTGTGCGTGAATATGTCTGATCCAACGGTAAAAAAAAAAAAAACTCAATGTGAGCGATATTTCCTACCGATAAGGCTACTAATATTTTAGAAATCGCATTTGTGAAGTTAACCCGGGTCGAGTTAACCCTGAGCCTCGTTTACTTAAGCTGGTAGAATAGGATATGGTTTGGATAACTCCTGTTATCCAACGTTTACTTTACCACAATGGGATTGGATATATACTAAAAGTTGATTTTTTTCATGTGGGTCCCACACTTTTATGCGCGACTGACCGGATTATTTTGTCCGATCTTTTGATGAAAGTATGTACGAATTTGAATAAATATTTATGAGTTAATTATTGAGTATTATGTGATTATGATGTGAGTGTAGGGAGATGAATTTGAGGAGTGGGGTTTCCAGGAAGCAGTGAGAAGAGTTGTTGAGTACACTTAAGACGACGGCTGCATGCGCACAAATCTTCCAAACACTACGTGTAAATTGGGCCTCTTTGACCATACTGTTATAATTAATTTAGTAGTCATATAATGTGTGGATGAGATTTTTGGATTAATTCTCCTTTTTAGTTAGTCCTCGTGATTTATCTATCGTTTCGAAAAAAAAAAAAAAAAGTTAGTTCCTTTTCTTTTGTTAAGACAAAAGAGGGAAACCACGCATTAATGTTTTATCACCTGTTATCCCAGATTTTTGAGTTATTACATTTTTATTGCGGTACCCGTGCGATGCACGAGTTAATTATATTAAGGTGAACATTTATATTTGAATGATTGAAAGAACGTAAAAGTCATGTATTGAAATAAAATATAATACAACTTATATATTATTAAACAGAAAACAACGTACCTCTATCTCTGTGTAAATCGTATCTAAGAAAATAAACACTTGACATATATATATATAGCACTGTCAAACGGGCCAGTGGCCCGCGGGCTGGCCCGCCCGCCCGCTTAAACGGACGGGCTTGGGCCTTTGCTTGGCCAGCCCGTTCAATCGCGGGCCTATTTGGCCCGCCCCGTTTGGCCCGCGGGCTGGGGCGGGTTAGCCCTTTTTTTTTTTTATAAATTATTTAAATGTAGTATTTTTTATTTTATTTCTAATTTCTATCTTGCACATGAAATATCTTTTTTACATAATAAAAATATTAATAAATCAAATAATATTTTATGTCAATTAAGTCGTTCATGCGCGTGAATACCCTATAACTATTGATAAAAAAAATAAAATAAAAACT